GTTTTAGGAAATCCGGAAACATTTCCCCCCCTTCCCCCCCTGGGAAAACCCCAGCCTTTAAACTTTCCTTCTTTTTTTTCCCCCCCGTTTTTGTTGGCCTTTTCCCCCCGCTTCCCCTGCCGCTTCCCCGCTTTGGGACCCCCCCCCCCCCCCCGCCTACGGAACCCCCGAACCCCCTAAACGTTCCCTCCTCCGTCTGCTGCCTCCTGCCCCCTCCCCAGGCGCCATATCCCTGGTCCTAGAGGATGACGCCCTATCTGAGGACATCGACTTCCTCAGATACTCGGACCGTGACGGAGGTGGAGGCGGAGACGGCGGCGGCGGCGGCGGCGGTAGCAGCGGTCACGGGGGCGGTGGTGGGAGCGGCTACACGTCGTACTCCGAGAACGGTCGGGCACGCCGCCCGCCGGGGTGGCGACGGGACGAGTGACGACACCGGCATGGGACACGATTATCGTAGTTGGAGGTAGCTTTTACAGCTGTTTTGGGCTATTTTTATACCGTAGGTGTCAGCCTTTCAGTCAGTCACCCGGTCGATCATCGAGTCTGGATGGATTTGTTGGTGGTTGGGAGGGGGGCGTTGGTTTGTAGGGCTTGGCCTCGAATGTTACACGGGCCTTGGAGGACGCCTCTCTTCTTCTCTTGGCCTTGTGGAATTGGATTGGGGGGCAAATCAAGGCACCAAGAGGTGTGTGACTGTATGTCTTCTCCCGGGTCGAGCACGGTCGGAAAAATGTGCACGCCTGGACCGACGACCCTTGCTATCTGCCGGACTTTGAGTAACTTGGCATGGATTTTGTCAAAAGCCGTTCGTTCGTGATACAGCCCGGCAGCATATGCTTGTCGCTTTTCTATATAGACAGATCACCCCGTTTTGAGGTTAGAGGGGAGGAGTTTGGGGGGGGGCAGAGCCGGGCCAAGTACCCAGCTAAGCAGCGTCGTTGCATTTGATGCAGGAAGTGTTTGTTCTCACGGCAGCTAGTCGAGACGCACGCAGACAGACAGAGAGACAGACAGACAGACCGCAAGAGGCGCTCTCTTCCTCCTCTACCCTCCAACCCATCTCCAGAGTTTATACAATCCCATCGTGGTCGCTTTCGAAAGCTGGTAGGTGCTGGAGGAGGAAAAGAGAGATGGCCATCGGCGGTTCCAGCGGTAACCTACGTTTCGGTTTCATCGCCAGCAGTGTGACGCCGCCGCCACCCCCATCACCGGTGGTGGTGGATAGAAGAGCCGTTCAGTCGGGGCACAAACGAGGGATGCTTTTTTGCTTTCCTTGTGGTGTCTTCGGAATGGGAATGATTCCCCGGGGCCTCCTTTGTTTATTTTTTCCTATCGCGGCGAGACGTAACAGCGCGTAGCGACCGGACAGTTGGCGGACGGGTGCAAGCGTCAGCACCTTGGTCAGCAGGAACGGGGGCGCCGCGGGATGTACACGGGTCTTGGCCGAGCGAGGGGGGGGGGGGGGGACCCTCCTAAGGCCCCCCTCCCCCCCCAAGGATTCCGGGGTGTAAATATTTTTTTTT